AAAAAAAAAAAAAAAAAAAAAGAAAGAACAGTTACGCTAAAAAAAGCAGTTCCTTTCTTCTCGACCTGTTCTCATCCCCTCCTCCTTCTCACCCTTCCCGTTTTTCTCTCGTCTGTCCGTCTCTGTTTTACTGCTGGTGTTTCTTTTTCATTGTTTTTTGGTTCTATTTGATTTTGGTTTTGTTTTTTTTTTCCTTTTAGCCTGTTACTGTACAGCTGTTTTGATGTTGTGATCCGTGTTTTCTGTTACTGGAAAGCAATTGTCGCTCATTCAAAAAAAAAAACAAACCCCAAAAAAAGATGGTTAAAACAAACAAAAAAATTGTGCCAAGAACAAATCATCCCAATTGGAGTATGTGGGTAGCAGCCAAATCGCTGCGAGGAGCTTTTCCATGGCCTGGCCTGGCCAGAGGTGTGACACTCAGAAGGGAGTGCCAAGAGTGTTACTAATCTAGTATTTAATCAATTTTTTTAAGACCGAGGTGGCCGCCTCGCCATCAGGTGCCTGGCAGAGGCTCCACAAAGTCAACCAGGATCTCCAAAGCGAGCTGGAAGCCCAATGCCAGCGTCAAGAGCTGATCAATCAGCAGATTCAGTCGCTGAAGCGCAGCTACGCCGAGGCCAAGGACGTGATCCGGCACCACGAAGCCGAGATTCAGAGCCTGCAGGCGAGGCTCAGTAACGCGGCGGCCGAGCTCTCCATCAAGGAGCAGACCCTGGCCAAGCTCAAGAGCGACCTGAGGAGCGAAAAAGAGAAAGCCAAAGAGCAGCTGGAGGAGTGGCAGCACAGCGAGGCCGCCCTCAGCTCCCAGCTGAAGGCCAGCGAGCAGAAGTTGAAGAACGCAGAGGCTCTACTCCTGGAGAAGACCCAGGAGCTGCGGGACCTGGAGATGCAGCAGGCTTTGCAGAGGGACCATCAGAAGGAGGTGCAGAGGCTCCAAGACAGAATCGCGGACCTGAGCAGGCAGCTGAACGCGAGCGAGCAAACGCGGATCCTCATGGAGGAGAAGCTGCAGAAGAATTACGAGGCTTTGCTGGAGAGCTGCGAGAGGGAAAAGCAGGTTTTACTACGGAGTCTGAAGGAGGTGGAGGATAAGGCAAACGAGTACGAGAACCAGCTGCAAAATACGGAGCAGCAAATGGAGATTCTGCAGAAGGAGAAGCTGAGTGCAAAGTTCGAAGGCAGCGAGCTCGTCCACCAGCTGGAGGAGCAGCTGGTGATGAAGGAGGCCAGCATCCAGAAACTCGCAGAGCACATCAAGGAGCTGGAAAGAGAGAGAGATCAGATCAAATGTCGGTTCCACGAGCTCATGAATCAGGTTGCCGAGTCGGATAACGAAGTTGCCAAGCTGCAAGCAAAGTTGAAGATGGAAGAAACCAACTACCACAATCTGGAGCAATCGTTCGAGGAGGTGTCGGATCAGTTCCAGGGTGTGCAGAAGGTGCTGAAGGAAAAGGAAGAAGAGCTGAGACACGTTAAGGAAATGCACTTGAGAATTGTGGAGAAGAAAGATCAAGATCTCAGTGAGGCTTTGGTTAAAATGGTTGCTTTAGACAGCAGTTTAGAGGAGACTAAAGTAAAGCTAAAGGCCAAGGAGGAGGCTTTAAAGAAATTAGCTAGTGTAGGCGCAGGTCCATGTGCTGAGGAGGTGGAAGACCTTGGTCCCAATCTCGAAGCTGATGAAAGTCATCCATCCCAACTGGGGCAGCCTCTGCAAACTCAGGATGTCCTCCCAGCTCTGACTTATGCACTGAAGGAGGAAGAAGAGGATGAGGTTCTTGAGACTAGCCAGAGGCAACCAGAGGAATTTGGCTCCCCATCTAAAGCTGTGGAGCTCCAGGACCAAGAGTTAGTTCAGAAAGCCTTAGCAAAGCCTGATGTAGGAATCATGGGGGCCAAGAGGCAAAGGATCCGTTTCTCAAGCATCCAGTGCCAAAAATACATTCATCCAGACGGATCAGAGAAAAACTGGACAAGCAGTACCTCTTCAGACACTAGCCAAGACAGATCGTTGTCTGAAGAGAGCATGTCATCAGAGCCAGCTCTTGGTTACCCATCATCAGGGACAAGCGACTCCGAGACCTATCTCTCCATCATCCATTCCCTGGAAACCAAACTTTATATTACAGAAGAAAAACTCAAAGACGTGACGATGAAGCTTGAAAGCCAGCACGGCCACAACCAGGAGACGCTCATCGCCCTCCACCATCAGTGGGCCAGCACGGAGTCTCAGCTGCGGGAACAACTCCAGACCAGCTTATCCCAAGTCAGTGCTTTGATCTCACAGCTGGAGAGCGAGAGGCAGGAAAAGTTCAAGCTCATAGAAAGTCACGTTAGCGAGCTGGGAGGTTTCCAAATGAAAAATGATCAAGCGCTGACTTGCTTAGAGAAGTGCAGGGAGCAACTAAGATCGTTGCCCCAGTCAGACAAGGAAAAAGAGGGTGATTTGTTCCTTGTTACTCTCTCCAGCATGGAAACGACCTTATCAAGTGCAATCCAAGCCTTGAGAGGGGCGCCAGTCCCATCGGAGTATCAGCAGAGTGAAAGCCTTATCGCAGAAAGCCCCGCTCCAGAAGGAGGTTTTTTAGGAGAAGAGGAGCACGTCCCCAAGGAGCAGCGAGCGGAAATGTTTGACGCCAGCCAGCTGAGATGGCTTTCTGAGAGAGTGGCATTTGAGGCCTCTCTCATCAACCAAATAGCGGAGTCTTTGAAAAATGCAAGCTCTGAGATATCTCAGCTTCTGAGGGAGATCCAGGGAACGGCTGAGGTGGTTTTGTTGGAGCCGGCAAATGTTTCTCATACAGCAGTCGACTTGGCCAACGTCCTATCTAAGAAGCTGCTGCTGGAAGGGGAGTTCTGGAGCCAGGTGGAGGAGTTGAGAGTGCACTTGAGCACCAGAGAAGGAGAAGCCGAGGGCAAAACAGAAACAACAGGTTTAGGCTTTTCTCCATGTTTTCTCAGTTCTGTAGCAGATGCTACGTTGATCAAGGCAGAACTTGGCTTTGTCGCACAGAAAATGAGAGAATCTTTTCATCAGAGATTAAAAACAATCGAAGAAGACCTCCATAACACCAAAACAGCTCTCCAGCAGCATAAATGCATGTTGGAGGAGATCATCAAAGCGTACAGGACTCCTGATTTTGACAGAGTTATGCACCAGATTTCTGAAGCACTTGAAATTCAAAAAGACGCTTCAGAAAGAACCCAAATCTCCTGGGATGGGAGCCGTCTGCAAATGGTGCCGTGTCAGGAATTAACCAAGGGAGAGGAGGCTGGCAGCCTGCCGGACCGTAGCAGTGAAGCTCTTGTTTCCATTCAGGAAGATCTTGCCCAGCAGCTGAAGGACAAATCAAATGTTCTGAGAGAAATATCTGTTGCCTTACTCTCTCTGCCTCCTGAGGAGGCAATGAGAGACTGTCAGAAGCTCCTGAAGATATCTCAGAGCCTTTCGTATCATTCGTGCATGGGAGACCTGGAACGGTATTCCTCTTTGTTAGTCCAAGATGCAATTGTCCAGGCTCAGGTTTGTTATGCCGCTTGCAAAGTCCGGCTGGAGTACGAGAGAGAGCTGAAGTCCTACAAGGAGTCCTTGCAGAGCATGGACGTGCTCTGCCAGGAGCGTGTGAAGACGGTCTCTCTCCTTCGGGATGAGTACGAGGACTTGCTCAGAAAGCAGCAGGGTGAGTACGGCGAGGTGATCGCCATGCTCGAACGGGAGAACGCTGATCTCAAAGCAAAGGTGTCCCAGCTTGACAACCAGCGAAGGCTCTTGGAGGAAGAAGAGCAAAGACACAGCAAGAGCTTGAGTGAGTTGCAGGGACGGTACGAGGAGGAGATTCGAAACGTGATAGAGCAGCTAAACAGGACAGAGGATGCTCTGAAGGCCGAGAGGACAGAGGGCCTCAATCAGCTGGACGCCATCGTCCGTGACAAGCAGAACATGGAGCGGTATCACCTGGAGCAGATGCAAATGCTGGAGGACAAGTTCCAGGCCAAGATCAAGGAGCTGCAGGTCATCCACGGCGAGGAGCTGCAGGCGTTGCAGGAGCACTACAGCCAGAACCTGCAGCGCCTGCAGGAGACCCTGGACGAGTACCAGAGGCAGCACCCAGAGGTGTCCCCTGCGGCGGGCCCGGGCGGTGGGGACACCTGGGTGGCCGGTGAGACGGGTGGCACCGGGCAGGGCCCCGGCAGCGACCCAGACTCCATGCACGGCCTGAGGGAGCGCATCCAGGAGCTGGAGGCCCAGATGAACGTCATGAGGGATGAGCTGGAGAACAAGCATCTGGAGGGGAACGCTTCCACCTTGAGGGAAAAATACCAGAAAGACTTTGAAAACTTAAAGGTGTTGATACGTTTAACGCTTTACGCTTTCTGCTGCTGAGTGTGCAGGACCCATTCGGTCCTGGGGTTCGCTTGCTGAACCCAGGGTGTCCCTCAAAAGAGCCAGCATGCCGAAGAAAGCCCCAAAGTGATAGAAAAGTCTCCATGCTGGGGTATTCTAAATGCATTGCATTGTCCCTCAAAAGAGCCAGCATGCCAAAGAAAGCCCCAAAGTGATAGAAAAGCACGGCATTTCTCTTTTCTCCATGCTGGGGTATTCTAAATGCATTGCTGAGGGCTTGGTCTCGGTGGGAGGGTTAGCTATTGGAGGTGGTCTCTGCTTGTAGAGGGAGGAAGGGTTTCAAAGTAGCTTGATAACTTCACGTTATCCTTCAGTATGAAAACTGTAGAGTTTCTCCTCATACCTGAGGTGCAAGTTTTGTTTGTGGCTTCCCTTTAGAAGCGTTCCTCAACTCTGTCTTTTCCAGTCTGATCAAATCTCCGGTCTGTCTCTGCTGCCCTCAAAAATGTAAGGTGAGATGGAAACCCAGTGCTCTCAAGAGGAAAGGAAGTAGCTGCAAACACATGCCAAATTTTGTAGTTAAAGCAAAGCTCCTCTGCACCAGGCTGCAAGGAGAACCACCCTGGTGTTGGACAACAGCGATTCTTCACACAACAAACAGTGCACAGTTACGGGAAACCCAGGCTAGGTGCAGAAAAACCATTGCAGTGGCAACGAAGTGCCTGTGTTGAGATTGCTCCACCAGTCAGGACCGGCTGTGAAACCAGCCTGAGATGTTACGGCGTCCAAAAATCCCTCTTGGGTTTGGTGTTCTGCTTTGGATAGGAGAGCATTTCCAGTTAGGTAGAGGGTTTAGGGCAGTAGAGGACTCTCAGCAGCACCCAGGGAGGCTTCCAGGTTGAAAAGGCAGCGGTGTGGGCTGCATGCAGAGGCTTTCACAGAGTAATCATTCTTCAGAGTCAGAAAAAACGTGGGTGAGCTCACTTCCAGCCATGAGATCTTCAGCACACATTTGGGCTGGAGGTAAAGCATGGTTCAACTCTACCCAAAAGCTGGTTTTAGCATGGAGAGAGCAGTATGGAATCACAGAATGGTTTGGGTTGGAAGGGACCTTAAAGATCATCCAGTTCCAACCCCCACTGCCCTGGGCAGGGACACCTCCCACTGGACCAGGTTGCTCGAAGTCCCATCCAGCCTGGCCTTGAACAGGAGTTCTGCTGTGTCCCATCAGGGGTGAATCAAGTGTCCAGCAGAGACAGGAGGGAAGCAGTGGTGTTCACTGAATGCTCCATCTTAACCCTTAGGAAGGAAAAACCCTTCTTGAACCCCCAACTCAGGTCAGTGGGACACAAGGGTAACACCTTGCCCTGTGAGCCAGGCACCAAACAGGGTTGCTTGTACCGGGCGACAGTGTTCCTTTGGAAGAAGTAAAAAGGCCAGCACCAAAATAGGGGCTGCAAAATAACAGCAAGCAATGAGCCTGACCTCCCACCTCTGTTTGCAGCTTTGCTCTGCCAAGCTTGCAGTTTTCCTGGTGAGAACTCAAGTGGCATCTTCTGGGCAGAGCGGTCCAGGAGGAGAGCAGAGCAAACCGGGCTCTCTCTGCACCTCTGGAGGAAGGAGAGGGACAAACAGCAAAATAGAAACTGCCTTTGGTTAGAAAATTGAACAGGTGATTAAAAACCGGTCCGATTTACAGGTTAAAATGTGCTCAGTTCTTCTCTTCTGAAGCTGATGGAGAACGTAACATCAGTGACAGTGAGGGGCTGGTTTGTACATGTTCAGAGGTCCTGGATTTACAGCAATGCATTTACAATACTTTAAATACTGAGTCTACAGCCAGAGCGATGGAGAAGCATCCCCCGATTTCCTCCAGCAGTCGGGGGGTAAGGAAGAATCCTGCAGGGCTGCTTCGTGCCTCTCCGTAGTCAGCCAAGTCCAGACAGGTTCTGGCACCGAGTTACGAGTTTGAAAAAACACAAAAGGCTGGGAAAATGAAGAATGCCTCAGGGTTCAAACTTAAAGGGGGGCACCAGAGCTGAAAATCGGGAATGACAGTGGCACAGGTTACAGAGCATTAGACATGAAGGGATGCCAAGGAGTGTATGTTAGCGTAGGTCAGCGGGTGTTAGAGTGTCATGAGCACTTTTGTCACTGGGGGACTGAATTTGTCCCCTTGAAATTTCCCATGAAGTCCCAGGAGGTGACAGTTCTCACTTCCTGTGGAAAATATGAGTGTGAATCAAGAAGAAATCCATTGAAATCAGGAAATAAAGCCAGCCTGTGACATTAGAGGGAGAAAAGCCTGGTGCAGTGCTTGGCCTCAGGATTGTCCCCAGAGTTCTGCCAGGGCTCATGCCCTGCATCCCTGGTCCATGTCCCTTCCCAGCTCGTGGCTTGGGCCAGCCTGTGGCTTTGCTGTCCTGCCTCTGTCCTGCAGCCATGTGTCTGTCCAGGATCCCGATGCACTTGGTGGGGACAGCTGGGCTGAACTGGACACGGGCATTTGCATTTGTCCCTCTGCAGAGGCAGGAGCGGGGTCTGTGCCTGGGGCAGGACCAGGCTGGAATTCAGGATCTCACGGCTGGTGACTCCTCAGTCCCCAGAGCGCTGCTCCCCTGGCCTGGTCTAAGTTTACTCCTAGTAATTCAATTAGCAAATAATTGCCCATGCAGCATTTGAAGCGATACACGGTTGGGAATTAACATCCTGTTGCTGTCAAGAGTCATTTGGTTTCCACCCCAGAGGTGGCCACATAAAATGAGGCATTGCAGAAGAGAGCAGAAGGGACACAGCAGGCTTTTTGTGGTTTTTTTAACATATAAATATATGTTAAATTCCAATTCCCCAGTCAGGTCTGAACCCAGACCTGCCTTGTCCTTCCCCTTCTCTGGAGCTGTCAGGGTTTGAGCTGACAGGACCTTGCAAGGTCCATCCTCAGCCAGCTTCTCCATGGTTGGGGAGGGAGAAGATCCCCATCATGGAATTTGGGTGCTGACCTACCTGCTGGTGTGTGGCTCCTGGTGGGCTCACCACCGCTGTGACGCCGGCCAACCCCTTCCCCTCGTCCCTTTTTGCAGGCAACATGTGAAAGGGGCTTTGCAGCCATGGAGGAGACACACCAGAAGAAGATCGAGGACCTGCAGCGGCAGCACCAGCGGGAGCTGGAGAAGCTGCGGGAGGAGAAAGACCGCCTGCTGGCAGAAGAAACGGCTGCCACCATTTCAGGTATGGGGACCAGAGGGTCCTCTGCAGTGGGGCAGCTCCATGTTGATGGGGACATGGGGATGGTGTTTGCTCCAGTGTGGAGGAGCGGAGCATGGTGTAGGGTGAGGGCTGGGTTGGGGATCACAGGGAGATGGGGAGAGTCTGGTGGGACATACATTTTGGATGGAGGCCCATCTCCTGGTCCTTCTCCAGGCTTGGTGCCCCTCGGCTGCAACATGGCCTGATCGGTTTTTCATTCCATCTCAGAAAGGATTTAGTCATTCCTGTGGTTAATTTATTGCCGATTCCACACTGAATTCATTCTTCAGTGTCCCAGGGACTTATAAAGTCCTGGAGCCCAGGGCCTCTGCATTAGGAGTCCTACAATCCTGCAAGCAACATGCAAATTGGATGATCGTTTGGACTTTATTGTAAAAAGTGGGCTTTGCAGCCAGGGACACAGACCGAAGGGGCCGCAAAACAGTGGGGGGTTCACTGGGATGACTTGGGTTTTGTTCCTTTAACAAACAAACAAACAAAAACTCAAAAACCCCGTCCTTGGGTGGAGCAGTGCTGGGCACTAACGCTGTGGTGTCCCACACAGCCATCGAAGCCATGAAGAACGCACACCGAGAGGAGCTGGAGCGAGAGCTGGAGAAGTCCCAGCGCTCCCAGATCAGCAGCGTCAACGCCGACATCGAGGCCCTCCGAAGGCAATACCTGTAAGACCATCATCATCCTCTGTCTGTCACTGTGTCTTGCAGGGACAAGGGAGTTAGGGGCAGACCTGGTGTCACAGGGACCTCTTCCCTTGGTCCCGACCCAGCTGTGCCCATCGGAGGCTCCTGGTTGCCTGTAATCTTCTGGGCTCCAGATCACTGTCCCCACACTACCCAAATTTAGCTAATTTATGGTCACCAGAAGTAGCAGATGTGCAGACACGGTGCTGCTTTTCACGCAGCTGCAGCTGGAGGGTTGCTCAACCAAATCTAACCAGGCAAGGAGAAGGCACTTTTAGCTTTTCATGGCGAGGCTGTCCTCATGTGGGAGGCAAGCAGAACAGCCAAGCAGCTTTATTTACCTTGATACATCTACACAAGTTGTGTAGGTGTGCAGATACACTCATCCCAAGTGCCCAGAGCAAACTTATAGAATCATAGAATTGCCCAGGCCGGAAGGGACCTGCATTTACACAAGTCGTGTAGGTGTGCAAATACACTCGTCCCAAGTGCCCAGAGCAAACTTGATAGATCTCACCTCAATTTTTTGGAAACCTGAGGAAGTTCTGCCATTTAACCTCTTAGAGAAAGACCTCCCATTCCCTTTGGTGCCCAAGCACCGCTGTCCCAGGAGAGGGAAGGGCTGGCTCTCTCAGGGCTCGAGGTTTCTCCCAAAGGGAGTGTGCAAGTCCTCCTCCTCAGCGCTTAGATCCCTGTTGGGTTGTCCCAGGGCGCTGGAGGAAGAATAGATCTCACCTCAATTTTTGGAAACCTGAGGAAGTTCTGCCATTTAACCTCTTAGAGAAAGACCTCCCGTCCCCTTTGGTGCCCAAGCACCGCTGTGGCAGGAGAGGGAAGGGCTGGCTCGCTCAGGGCTCAAGGTTTCTCCCAAAGGGAGTATGCAAGTCCTCCTCCTCAGCACTTGGATCCCTGTTGGGTTGTCCCAGGGCGCTGGAGGAAGAGCGGGCACGGGATGGTGTGTGCGGGGAGGGCACTACCCGGCGTGTGTTTCCCCAGGGAGGAGCTGCAGTCGGTGCAGCGGGAGCTGGAGGTGCTTTCGGAGCAGTATTCGCAGAAGTGTTTGGAGAACGCCCACCTGGCGCAGGCGCTGGAGGCTGAGAGGCAGGCCCTCCGCCAGTGCCAGCGGGAGAACCAGGAGCTCAACGCCCACAACCAGGTGAGGGTCCTCACGGTGCCCCGGGGCAGCTGGTGTGGGTAGGGGGTGACAGGTAAACTCTGTGCCAAGCTGTGGCCACCCTTCCCCTTTCCACATGGGCTTTATCTCCTCTTCCCAGGAGCTGAATAACCGCCTGGCTGCGGAGATCACGCGATTGCGGACCCTGCTGACCGGGGAAGGAGGGGGAGAGGCTGCTGGATCGCCTCTTACACAGGGCAAGGACGCCTACGAGCTGGAGGTGAGCTCTGCCACACCGAAGGGGCAGCGTTGGTGGGCACAAGTGCCTGCAGACCCCCTGGGAGCATGGCACAGCCACCCATCCCTCCACACATCAGGTCTGCATGGTGGTCAGCACCGTGCATCCTGCCATCAATGGGGCCAGGAGCTTTCGGGAGCCCTAATGTTCCCTTCTCACCATGTCAAGCCAGACACATCACTCTTCCTTCTCCATCCCCTGCTTGTCCCCTGGGATCCAGTCCTCACAAAGCAGTAGGAACCACCATAAATCGAGGGGTGTGCAGGGAGCACATCAGCAGTGCAAGCTTGGGCAAGGAGTAATTTTCTTGCGTGAACCAGCAGCTTTGCAGTGCTGTCATGGAGCTGGCATAGGGCTGAGCCTCCAGCCCTGGCTCGGTTGTCACCAGGCACAGTTGGGGAGAATCTCGGGATGGCACTGAGTCTGCTCGGGTCTGAACGGGAACCACCATAAACTGAGGGGTGTACAGGGAGCACATCAGCAGTGCAAGGAGTAATTTTCTTGCATGAACCAGCAGCTTTGCAGTGCTGTCATGGAGCTGGCATAGGGCTGAGCCTCCAGCCCTGGCTCGGTTGTCACCAGGCACAGTTGGGGAGAATCTCGGGATGGCACTGAGTCTGCTCGGGTCTGAACACATGCTGTTTCTGTTCCTACAGGTCCTGCTGCGGGTCAAAGAGTCAGAAATCCAGTACCTGAAGCAGGAGATCAGTTCCCTCAAAGACGAGCTGCAGACGGCGCTGAGGGTAATGCCCAGGGACATTTCTGAAAGGCCTCTTGTGGGCTGTGGTCTGCTCCTGTGTGTGTGTGCACTTAAATTTCAGCTCACTTATCCCCACATTTGAAATGACATTTAATTTTTCCCCTGAGTGGAACTGAATAGCCGTTTTGGTGGCATCAGTAAAGCACTCCCCAACTGTGTCAGCTCAGGACTCACCCCTTCTCCCTTCTTGTGGGAAAATATCCCCTTCAGTGTTTTTCCCTTATTTCCTGTCACATCAAATTCAGATTTGAAATGGCAGAAGTAGTCAGTGTTAAGAGATCTGCCCAGCCTCCCAGCATCGGATCTGGTTTGCTCCAGACGGCCTCTTTGCCAAGGCCATTTCTGGGAATTCTGCTTGAATTCCGTGTCTTTGCTCCAATTAAAACCCACAAACAGGCAATCCTGTAAGGCAGGGGCTGCGTGCACGGGCAGCGCTGTCTGCTCACCGCTGGGCTCGGGGCTTTTTTGCCCATCTTGTGTCCTGTGCTGCTGAAACGCCGGCGTTACCCCGACCGAGCGTGTCTCCCCGCTGCCGGCTCTTCTTCCGTCGGCGTTTGCCAAGCTCCTCTTCACCACGTTCACAACCCCCCCTCGGCTCCAGCTGTCCATCTGACTCCCTTGGGTTGTTCTTCTTCCTTTGCCAGGATAAGAAATACGCCAGCGACAAGTACAAAGACATCTACACGGAGCTGAGCATCGTGAAGGCCAAGGCAGACTGTGATATCAGCAGGTTGAAAGAGCAGCTGAAAGCAGCCACAGAAGCTCAGGGAGAGAAATCCCCTGTGAACACCACTGTATCGGGATATGGTCAGTCCTCCTCCAGCAGCTCTAAGCAACCGTGGGTTCCCCGAGTTAACACGTGCCTCCTGGTGCCCAAGCCCTTGTGCAATAAGGGGTCTGAGCGGTGCTTTCTTGCCATTTGATGCTGCTTCCCACCTCTGCTCCTTGCAGACAGTCTCACAGGAGATGGCAGGGACCAGGCAGCCCTGAATTGCCCTCCTGTGGCAGTTCCTCCTTCCAGCCCCAGGAATGGGAAGCTGGTGGGCTTTCAAAGCCTTCTGGCATTTTGCATTGGGGAAAAACCTCATGCTACACATGGTGCAGGGGAGCAGAGACCTCCAAGAGTCCCCTCTGCTGCTTGAGTTGGGCTCATGGGGGCACTTTCCTGGGCTGGGAGGGCAGAAGAGCCCAGCCCTGCTCCTTGCAGGAAGCCCACGGGCACCACACTAACACTGTTTCTTTTGCTTCTCCGCAGATATTATGAAATCAAAAAGCAACCCTGATTTCTTGAAGAAAGACAGATCCAGTGTTAGCCGGCAACTAAGGAATATCAGGTCAAAGGTGAGCTCAGATCTCCCTCCCCATGTGATGAAAACTCTCCAGTGGGGATCCCAGGTGGGAAGAAATTGATAGGGGATGATCCCCATGTGATGAAAACGCCCAGCCTTACTCTGCAGTGGGGGTCCCAGGTGGGAAGAAATTGATAGGGGATGAAAACTGAGAATTCCCACCTCACTCGTGCTGGCCTGGATGGCACTGGGGAGAAAAGTGAGCCAGCAGGGCACACACACTCCTCACCCTGCCCGGGTCGAGGCTTGAAGCCGCTCCCCGCTTAAAGAAAGGAAGGAATTCACCCTGATTTTTGGTCTTTCACAGGAGGACTCTTCCATTTTCAGTTGAAATTTAGGCGGTGTCAGTAGGTGGAAGTGTGCACATCCTTCTAGGCTTTACAGTGTTCATCACTGCAAGGTTTTTTGGTCTTTATATGGATCAACGATGCCTCAGTCCTGGGCATATTTAACACACACTTTGCTTGTGTGTTAACACGGTGCAGATGGCCCTGTGTTTCTCTGGCTTTTCTCTACTTGCTGTTGGTCCCCAAGCCCAGTGATGCTGTGCCAAGCTCTCCTGCTTGATGTAACCCCAGAGTTACATCATGTCACACAATGGCTGTTCCTGTGGGGCCACGGGGGTAAAAGATAAAGCCACTGAGAAGCCATCGTTAAACGTAGGTCAGTTGGAAGGAAGATGAGCATGGGCAAAACCTGTCACCGCAGGATACCTGGTGTCTCATGCTGATGTTTGAAGTGGTTGGGACCTTGGGCAGAGCGAGAAGCCAAGCAGCCAAAAGGCTTCTAGCTCGGTGCCCATGCTGGGGAAACGGTTGCCACCTGAGCTCTGCGAGGGGCAGGTCATCAGCCTGGGGTGTCTGCGCTGCACCCAGTAAATACAGAGAGCACCTCTGAGCATTTCAGGGGCAGCCTGGACCTGCTGGGCCAGGTCTGATGTTGGGTTTCCCTTCACCACTTCAACTCGGAGCGCTTCTCCTGTGGTCCCCCGAGCGTGCTGCTTGGTGGGGGAAGGAGGAGAGGAGGGCAAGCATGGGCTCTGCCTGCTCACATCCCTGCCGGGGCTGGGGGGGCCGGGGCTGCGCGAACGCCAATGCATTCAGGATTTATGAGCTTCTTGTTTTGTTTTGTTTTTTTCTTTATTTTGCTTTTTTCCTTCAACAGTCCGTTATTGAGCAGGTCTCATGGGATAACTGAAATGAACCCGAGTCCAGGTTCCCTGCCACGTAGGTAATCAAACCGGCACCCACCAAGCGACTTGGAGCCGCCCACTTTTTGCATGCACTGCTCACACCTCCATGGCAAACGAGAGCCCTTCTTCTCTTAATGACTGACCGGTTTATTCACGGCTAATTATTTCACCGGGGGAGGGGGAAGGGGAGAAGTCAGCGTACCCAAGATCCCTATGACATGCAGGCTCGCTGGCTTTTCCCTGGGGAGTCTGGCTTTCTGGTCCTCCTGCTCCTCCCACCCTCACCAACACAGCTGACCATCACGGAGAGGATCTGGAGGCGGTGGGGGCACGTTTTCCTGTTTGCTGTGTTGGGAGCGCGGGACGCTGAGTGTGCATGCCTGAATGACTCTGCATGCCTCAGACTAAACCTCAGCAACACCCAGGTCTGGTAGGAGACACGGCCGTTTTGCTCTTGGCCCAGTGGAGGAGTGGGCCAGTGATGCCTATAAATGCTTTTCCCATAAAGACCAGTAGCGTGTGAAATGGTGGTCCCCGTCTGAGCTGCAGAGGGGATGTTCTAGGCTGCCCTGTGTTTCCTTTACCCGTAATTGCTGCTTCTTTAGGTTGATCTGTGCCTGAGCAAAAGAGCCCTCCTTGCCCAGTAACCTCCTCCTCCCGCTCTCCAGGCTTCCTCCGTCTCCCTGGTGTCCTCCCCCTGCTCCATCCCTTGGCGCTGCGCCTCCATCCCACACGCTGGCCTGAGGCTTCCGAGCTCATCCAGCAAAAGGAGGGAGCTGATGAGAAACAGGCCGATCCTAATCACCCAAATATCTTGAATAAGTGGGGCAAAAATAGTTAATTTACTTGTCCACGGTCAAGACTGAGGTTAGAGCACCTTAGGAGGGAGGTTAGAGAAGAGGGGAGCTCCCCAGTGCGGTGGCAGAGCCCCAGGAGGTCTGATGGAGGATCCCTTCATCACAGATTTCATCCTACATTAGTCTCCCTTCATCAGGCTCCTGTCAGCAGCAGCTCAAATGGGTTGTGAGCCTGCCTGAAGGGCAGATTTACTGGAATTTGTACCATCAGGCAGAACAGTCTAATGGTTTCTGTTGTTTCCTTCCATCTAACGAGAACTGGGATGGACAAACTGGAATGCACGGGCTGCTGCCTATTTCAAGAGGCCCAAAGTAAACTTCCTTTAGGAAGTGTGTGCTCAGGGACTCGCATCCCAAGAGGCTCCACTGCCCCTTGAAAAGAAAGCACAGGGCGTTTGTAAATTCAAACCAATCCATTTTAGTGCTTGCATTTCCGTGCTGCTTCGCTTCCCAAAGCTGTTCCGTATTTGTGGGCCTGTGGGAGGAGAAACGTTTAGAGAAATGCAGTAACCATGGGAATCTGCACAGCCTTGGGGCCAGTTTATCATGGAGCCCTGCCTTGATAAACACAGGTTGAACAGAACCCAACCCCAAAGTCTAACCTGCTGCTTCGACAGTCCCCTGGCACCACGATCAGGGAAGGAAAAGGAAAAGGGGAGATGGCTGCCCGTGAGTAGAAGGGGCTTTGTGTGCAGATCTGTAAATAGTGTTCCTGGGGCAGCTGCAGCCCAGCCATGGAAGCTTTTAGAATCATAGGATTGTCTAGGTTGGGAAGGACCTTTAAGATCTTCTAGTCCAACCATCAACCCAGCTCTGATTATAAGAAAACCCTCACTAAACCATCTCACTAAGCACTACGCCAGCCCGTCTTTTGTATATCTCCAGGGATGGTGCCTCAGCCCCTTCCCTGGGCAGCCTGTTCCAATTAATTTCGTCCCGTTAATTCCATTTACAGCATGTTGGGGCAGAGACATTGCTCCATAGTCCTGGCTGTCGGCTGGGGAGAAGCCTGTGCCTCCTCAGCAGCACCAAGCAGGAAAATCAGACTCCCCTGAAGCTCTTATGCCAGTTTTGGGGCTGCAGGGAGGAGGGGAGGCTGCCTTTAGGCTTGTGCATCTCCTTGGGCTGTCTTACGGGAGGGAAAACAATTTGCTTCTGGGTTTCTGCCCCTCACATTGCTGTTTTTCCTCCTCCCCACACGTAGGCAAGAGGAGGATTCACAAATCCACATGCCGAGGGCTAGCGGGGTGGGCTTTTGTGTTGGCTAGCTGAGTGTTGTGCCTTGAAATCTGGATGCTGCATCCGAATTGGATCAGACATCTGATCCTGCAAGACCTGAAACAAGCATCTAGCAAGTCCTCTGTCTAACCCTGGGCACTAGAGGCAGCTTTGGCTTGGGAGAGCCCCCAGGCTGGGGTTAGAGAAAGGGTGGGATTGTCACTGGTGGCAAGAAAAAAGGCGGTTTCCAGGGCTGCTTGAGCAAAGCCTGTGCATTGACCAGAGCCAGGACCGTCCCAGGGGGACACACGGTCAGTTGGTGGCTCGGGGAGGACCGGCACAGCAGATTCGAGCTGGCCTGCCCCGGGGCTCCACTGAAATTGTCCCACCTCAGGCTCCAGGGCAGGGGGGGGGTCACTTTTTGAGTCGTGCTCATCCCGCTTGCAGCATGGTGTGCCTCTCATCTGCTTCTGGTCCGTCGCCTGGTCCGTCTGCAATCTCACCCTCTCTCTAGGCGCCATTCCCCAGTAACTGCCCTCCATAACCGTGTAGGCTCAGTAGCCTGTGAATAAGCTAGCTCTGTCGTACCAACCCTTTTGGTATGCAAGCAGGGCCTGGGTGGTATCGGCCATACCGAGCTCTTACTGCTGTCAAGAGACCCAGTGCTCAGAGCACGCCAGGAGCCTGATCTAACCGTTGATCTCGATTGCATTACTTGCACCTACAAGGGGTGGGATGGGGTGTGGGGGAAAAAAAAAAACCTTGGGGCAGGGAGGGGGGGGAAAAGCTGTCGGGGAGCGCAAGTCCGTGCCGGCGTAGGCCTCGGAGGTACAAACACTGACATCTGGCTGGAGAAGGACGCAAGAAAGGATTCTCCTGCCCCCCATGACTGTGCCGTGTCCTGAATGTAGGCGACACCGGAGCCCCCCGAGCTCTGGTGGCTGCCCCGGGTGGTGGTGGAAGGGGAGCTGCAGATACTCACCCGCAGCCTCACTCCGCCCCATCGGCCTGTCGTCGCCTCCCGTCTCGCTGGTGGTCGGAGTCGGTGTTTCGGGGGCCGAGCTGTAAGATCACTTTCTTGCCTCTTGTTAGATCAAGCCCAGCACTCTCTTTTTTTTTTTTCCTTTTTTTTGTTTTTTTTTTTTTTTTTTTTTTTTTTTTTTTTTTTAGGTCTGTGCGCATGTGAAACTCCCTTTTCCTAGTCAAAGGAAAGTAGAGTAGAAAGTAGAGCCAATATTGACTGAAAATGCACAGTGCTCAATGCATATAATGCTCCTTTTTTATCAGCTTCTTGAATTCAACTCTTCTTGTCAGCAGGGCAGCTCCTATTTTAATTCTTTAATCTTTTCCTGAAATAAAAATCTCAAAACCAGTATGTGCTTCAGACCTTCTCAGTCCTAATAGCTTTGGTGTTTAAAAAGCCTACAATTTAGCACCGTGAGGCCGCTGAACGGATGCAAACCAGAAGCGAGGTGCAGGAGCTGCAGCAGACGGCCAGCCCAGCAGAGGTTGGCTTCCCAGAAGAAGCCTAGAGCTGCCCCGGTGATGGCTTCATCCCAAGAGCATCCCAAGATGCCACCAGCTGTAGAGACTCCAGGTCCTGCCTCACCGACCACCCCAGCCAAGTGACCAGCAGGACATCGGGCTGGGCTGTTAAAGATGCACCATGACCTTCACGTGGAGCAAAGATTCTTCTTGGTTTTTTGAGTGCATGACACATGGATGAAGTAGGGACATGTAACTGAAATAAAATGTGTTGGACGGCAGGAACACGGCGTGTGGAGGGATGGGTGGGACTGGCCACCGTTGTCATGGGTTTGGCAATGCTTAACGAGCCAAATAATTAATCTTGGTGCTGAACTTTGTGGGTTTAAAGTATTTGTTGCTAAGCGAAGGGGTCTTCCATGGACATAGTGGTGGTGGTCTCATGCGCTATGGCTTTTTTAGGAGCCATCTCCCCCCCGAGA